ACACACACACACACACACACACACACACACAGGGAAAATAAATGCCAAACAGAATGATCGTCACACTCCGAGCGCTGGGCAGAGCAAGTCCAGCTCCTTCTGTGCCTCTCCATCCTGAGGAAAAACAAACAACTGCAGAAAACAGAAGGAAGATGGATGTAAATACAGAACTGTGATGACAGTGACGAGGTTTACCTCTTTGGAGACGGCATTCATTGAACAAGCAGCTTCACACATCTTCCGAGCTTTTTCCGTCTGCCCCAGGTCTTTGTAGCACTGCCGAAGAAAAACAACAGAAACTCACTGCACTTTTTTAGTCCCTGTAGGTTCCCACAGAGCGATCCATGTTTTACAAGACAACTGTGACTTAAAGTTTCTGGTACTAACCTTGGCCAGAAACACGTAGTTGAGTTTAGAATATCCTGGTTGGATCTCCTCAACCTGAATGAAAACCATAGATAAAAAAAGGTTTTGGTCCATTAGATAAATACTCTACAACTGTATGTATAACATGTTTAAGAAAAGTCACCAGTAAAGCTATAACGGTAGCTGCTGGTATAAACATTACATATTTACTAATTGTTTAGATTTCAGTGCCTGTATTTAAATAAAGACACTGATCTTCACACATGAACGTTTTATCTGTATCATTAGAAAAAGCCAAGAACAGGAGACATTGTCCTTGACTCATCCTGACTCTTCCTCCTTTGCACCACCACAGTTAGTCAAGTACAGATAACCACAGGTTAGAAGCTGGGGATCTGCTACTGCCTTGCAGGATGTGTTTGTTAAAGCTTGACAGTCTCACCGGAGGCTCTCCTCCAGTGTCACGAGCGACGTGTCGTAACAGGACCGCTTGTGAGGAGGACGTGAGGAGGAGGCAAGCACGTAGGAATACTGGCCAGAAGCAAAATTAATTTCTCTACTATATAAACATACAAAATGTGGGAACACAGATTAAGACTTTCTACACTAGAGGCAAGTTTACGTTAAACAATCAGGACAGCTCAGGGGAGCTGTGAACTGTATGAAAATAAAAACATCAGCCTCTATATCAGTTCCTACTTTTGTGTAATTATTCTCTAGTTAGATCATAGAGCGGCACTGAAAACTATGTCGATGTTTCCAGACTACAACACAACCCCGGAGTTTTCAAACTAAAAC